CCTAAATAACCTGAGTCAGGAAGCAAAGGTATATTTAGATTAACCTCACGCTCAAGTCTACTTGAAAGTTGAATTAAAAAAAAATTAATTTTTGAAGGTTTAAGAACATTCGGAATTCTTGGTGCCAAATAATTTTCCCCTTATTTGGAAATTAGAAGTACAAATTTAAACTATCCAAAATAACTTGACTCAGGAAGCAACGGAAAATTTAGAATGCTCACTTTAGGTCTAATTGAAAGTTGTGTTAAAAAGAAATTAATTTTTGAAGGTTTCAGAACATTTGGAATTCTTGGTGCCGAAATAATTTTCCCCATATTTGGAAAGTAGAAGTACAAATTTAAACTATCCTAAATAACCTGAGTCAGGAAGCAAAGGTATATTTAGATTAACCTCACGCTCAGGTCTAATTGAAAGTTGAATAAAAAAAAAATTTTTTTTAAGGTTTAAGAACATTTGGAATTCTTGGTGCCGAAATAATTTTCCCCATATTTGGAAAGTAGAAGTACAAATTTAAACTATCCTAAAAACCTGAGTCAGGAAGCAAAGGTATATTTAGATTAACCTCACGCTCAGGTCTACTTGAAAGTTGAATTAAAAAAAATTAATTTTTGAAGGTTTAAGAACATTCGGAATTCTTGGTGCCGAAATAATTTTCCCCATATTTGGAAATTAGAAGTACAAATTAAAACTATCCAAAATAACTTGAGTCAGGAAGCAAAGGAAAATTTAGATTAACCTCATGCTCAGGTCTACTTGAAAGTTGAATTAAAAAAAATTAATTTTTGAAGGTTTAAGAACATTCGACATTCTTGGTGCCGAAATAATTTTCCCCATATTTGGAAATTAGAAGTACAAATTTAAACTATCCAAAATAACTTGACTCAGGAAGCAATGGAAAATTTAGAATGCTCACTTTAGGTCTAATTGAAAGTTGTGGTAAAAAGAAATTAATTTTTGAAGGTTTCAGAACATTTGGAATTCTTGGTGCCGAAATAATTTTCCCCATATTTGGAAATTAGAAGTACAAATTTAAACTATCCAAAATAACTTGAGTCAGGAAGCAAAGGAAAATTTAGATAAACCTCATGCTCAGATCTACTTGAAAGTTGAATTAAAAAAAAATTAATTTTTGAAGGTTTAAGAACATTTGGAATTCTTGGTGCCGAAATAATTTTCCCCATATTTGGAAAGTAGAAGTACAAATTTAAACTATCCTAAATAACCTGAGTCAGGAAGCAAAGGTATATTTAGATTAACCTCGCGCTCAGGTCTACTTGAAAGTTGAATTAAAAAAAATTAATTTTTTAAGGTTTAAAAACATTCGGAATTCTTGGTGCTGAAATAATTTTCCCCATATTTGGAAATTAGAAGTACAAATTTAAACTATCCAAAATAACTTGAGTCAGGAAGCAAAGGAAAATTTAGATTAACCTCACGCTCAGGTCTACTTGAAAGTTGAATTAAAAATAATTAATTTTTGAAGGTTTAAGAACATTCGGAATTCTTGGTGCCGAAATAATTTTCCCCATATTTGGAAATTAGAAGTACAAATTTAAACTATCCAAAATAACTTGACTCAGGAAGCAATGGAAAATTTAGAATGCTCACTTTAGGTCTAATTGAAAGTTGTGGTAAAAAGAAATTAATTTTTGAAGGTTTCATAACATTTGGAATTCTTGGTGCCGAAATAATTTTCCCCATATTTGGAAATTAGAAGTACAAATTTAAACTATCCAAAATAACTTGAGTCAGGAAGCAAAGGAAAATTTAGATTAACCTCACGCTCAGGTCTAGTTGAAAGTTGAATTAAAAAATATTAATTTTTGAAGGTTAAAGAACATTCGGAATTCTTGGTGCCGAAATAATTTTCCCCATATTTGGAAATTAGAAGTACAAATTTAAACTATCCAAAATAACTTGAGTCAGGAAGCAAAGGAAAATTAGATTAACCTCATGCTTAGGTCTACTTGCTGGTTGAATTTAAAAAAAATTAATTTTCGAAGGTTTAAGAACATTCGAAATTTTTGGTGCAGAAATAATTTTCACCACTTTTGGAAATTTGAAGTATAAATTTAAACTATCCAAAATAACTTGTTGAGGCATAAAAATTAAAATTTCTGATTGTGAGTTTCAATAAAAATTCCAAGCGGTTCAAATGTTAAGCAGCATCAACAGAACACACTTTTCTCCTAGAAGAATTGATATAGAAGGAACCCCATAACTTGTGAACCGCTTGCAATTTTTATTTCAAAATTTGTTACTAGACAAAGTTAGACATGCTGAATTGAATGGCTATTTTGAAAAAAATCTTTGAAATTTATTTCTGGCTAAAAAAATGAACTTATATTTTTGAGCATCTTTTAAAATGTCAAAAAATTATTTTTATTACAAAAATTACAATTGCGCACAGTAAGTCCATTCTTTTCTCTACAAAATTATATCTAACAATGTTAAGTTCATCTTTCTACTTTTTATATTTCATGAGGAAAATAGAACTTTGCAAACACTTAATTATTTCACAATGTCGGGGAAAAATTTGAGTTTTAATTTATATAATTGCATTGAGAGATAAATTTAATTAGAGGTTTCGTAAAATTAAAAATCAATTTTTCCAAGATGAACAGTTTTTCTAGAGCGCTTGTCCCCGGCGGCGCCGCTGAAGTTGAAAATTTGGAAGCGCTGCCTACCGCGACAAGCGGCGGCCGTCCTCAATTTGATCATCATTCCAGCCGCGGCAGCAGGTATTTTTAAAATTAAACACGATTTCGCTCCTTGCGAACTGGGCTCATATTAGTATCGCCAGGAGCTTCAAATTGATAAAACTTTTTCTCGTTGTTTGAATTGCTAATTTAAATTTCCAAATTAATGTATAAAGCATAGATATTTTGGCACCAAGTCTTCAGGACGCCAGTGCTCTGATTTGAATTGCTTGCTATGCATATGCCAAGCGAAAAATACGCTGAAAAGTACAACAGCGTGCAAAAGAATATTAAATTTTAGAAGGCAAACCTGAAGTAAGGTAGTTTAGAGTGGACAATGCCCTCATTGGAGTTGTTGTTCATGTTGGTGAAGAGTGGCAACCAGTTTTCCGGCATGTCCTCAGTGGATACAGCAAAGCCGTGGTTCTGGGTAGTCATGAAGCAGCGACCAGTGGAAATGTGCACACAAGGCTGGTTGTGCCCACGGTTGCCATACCTGACATAAAAATTAATTGAAAGGTAAATTTAAAAAATATCCGCATTTATTGGTTAAAAAAAGAGGTTTAATAAACCAATGAATGCAACCTAATAATTACCTCATTTTATATGTTGAGCAGCCAGCAGCAATGGCCAGAAGTTGGTGGCCAAGACAAATCCCAAAAATTGGCTTCACAACAGCTGCCATCAGACGTCGCAAATTATCAATGTGCTTTGCAAAGCTGCGGGTCTCCAGGACCATTGCTCAAGAACAAAGCATCAAAATTTTCCTAAAACATTAAAATTTTTTTATGCCTCAAATCTTCTCTCATCAAAGTGTGTATACCTTTTCTTCAAGTAGAGGCGCGTCCCAAGGTAAAACCTCGACTTGAGCACCTCTCTTGGCCAAACACCTGATCTGATTGGTTTTGCCTCCGCAGTGCATCATCCTGATTCTCCAGTGTTGTAAATCATTGTATTCTGAACATTAAATTATTCACCTTCTTAACCTGAACACTTTAAAGTATATTTGTACCTTCGGAGCCACTTCAGCAACCAGATTGCGCAAGTTGAGGTCTGGAATCTCCATCTGGAGATCCTCCAAAGTGGGATCACCAAGGACGATGCGCGCCATTGTTGAGCCAGACTCACGCAGGATCCTGGTGAGAGCCCTGGTGTCGATGCCGGACAGTCCAGTCACACCGTTCTCCAGCAGCCAGCGGTCGATACTTTTGGCGCTCTGGAAATGGCTCGGGGTGTCGCATTTTTCAGACACAATCAAGGCTTTTGGGTAAATCCTGTCGGACTCGAACCACCTATAATGACAAATTGACATAATTAACAAATTATGAAAGCAGAAGCTTCCAACTTTATGTTAAGTGGTTTAATTCTCCATTTGCGTTTTTGTTGTTGTAGTTTATTAAAACACCACATTTTCGTTGTGGCTCTGAATAGTAAAAAATTTAAGAGAGGAATTTATAATCAGTACCTGCTGAGATTAAACTCGTCCTTTGACTCTTCAGGCACGCCGTAATTTCCAATCAGAGGATAGGTCAGAAGGAGCAATTGACTTGCAGGTACGATGGTACAGCTTAGTCAGGGCCTCCACATAGCCAACCATACCAGTCTGGAACACTGCATGAAAATGAAAATTGATGCAATTAAATTTAAAAAAATATAATAAAAATAAAGAGTAGAGTGATGAGAACGGATAAATATAATTTTTTTTATTTTATTTTGCACTAATATGAAAAAGAAATAAGATCATATAAAAAATGTACTTTTTTTACGATGGATCGAATGATAAAAGCTCGACGGGCTCCGGGCTCGTCTTCTAGCTACCCCATAAACAACATCCCACACATGTGCGCGGTTTTATCAAACAGCCGGCCTGGTTTCAACCCTGAGGACCAACGTTTGCCAAAACGTGCGTACCGCGTACCGCAGACATGAGAGCTCAAAAACCAAACCAAAACAAAACCGGGCTCCGTCCAACTTCTCTCAACTTACTTTTAGAGACGGAGAGAGTGTGCCGTGTGGTGAGTGTATGAGGGAGGCAACTGGCAAGGCGATGGGGAGGCGAAGGCTACGCCCCCTTTCGGAGCTGGCGCTGGCTGGGCAAGGAAATTTGGACCCGTTTGAGCCCATACAAAAAAACCATGGACCTAATAATTTAAATTAGTAAATTACGTAGTAAATCAATGAGAAAAACACAGTTGAAAAAATGATGGGCAGAATCGAGCTTCGAAAAAATCCACCAGATCGGCGCTGCGGTCGCATCCGATCTTTCCCGTGTATTCCTTGCCAGCCAATTCAGAAGGGGGCGTAGCCTTTGCCTCCCTCATTATATTCTCGACCAAGACACCAAAAGGCACGACGATAGACACAAATCATAGAACGAGAACGTGCATGTATATACGTGTTCGTCTTGCCAGTCTTGCCTGTGAGGTCTGCTTTGCTCCATTGCTGCGTGCGTCTGCCGGTCTGCCTGCAAACTCAAAAGCGTGGAAAATCTTGATTCAGCTTTGATCGTTTGTTGTGAACTCTAAAATGGATTTTTGGGGTATGATCTGTAATTAAATTTATTAAATTAAGCAAATCAGAATCATAATAATTATGCATATAAGATGGGTGTCGCCTCGCTCCGATGAACGTGTTTGAATCGGAACTCAATAAAGTTTCGCTTGGATCTTTCCACGGTTTATCTCCCATCATTCCAATTTTATGAATATGAAAACTTATCGACCGAAACCACCGGTGGGAAAAATTTATCATTAACTCTTGCATAAGAAATGCCGAAATGCCTTATTTTCACAAGCTAAAATTTTTGTTTACCTGTATATGTATTATTATATTCTTTTAATTTTAATATTATGTCAATTAGAATGGAAAGGTTAAATAATTAAGTACAAAAGACATATTATGTTATTTTAATGCTGCTTATTTTTAGGCGTGAAGATCAATCCAGGCAGAGAAAAAGTTGTGAACGTGGAGCACCAGCTGCATTTGGTCTCGGCAGTTTTGGATATGCAGAGCATTGGTAAAAATTAATATTAAAACTTTTTGATTATCATATATATGCATATGATACACAGAGTATAAAATGTCATGTGTGTTCTTTTATTTATTAAGTTTAATTGTATAATTATAATTTTATTTAAACAAAGATGTGATTGAATGTAAATATGAGTTTGAATTATTATTTTTTAATTAATCTCCAATGTCTTATTTCAGAAGGTGGTGAAAAAAAATACACCACTATCGGTGTGGAGACGAGCTCCAGCAAGGGCCGCATTGTGATTTGCAACCTGAGACCAAAAACTAGTCCTGAGAAGTGCCTGAACTTGGTTTTTGCAAAGGGATCAGAAATTGTTTTTTCTGTCGAAGGACATCATCCAGTCCATCTTATGGGCAACACTGTTCCCAAGCCTGCTGGCTTGACTTCAAGTAGCTTTGGTTTGTGAAACTAGATAGAGAATTAATAATTAATACATAATTATTAAATTATCCCAGGCTCAGCATCCTATGAAAACGATCAAGAGGAGGCCGGCTCGCATAATAACTCAGAGACGACAGAAGGAAGTGCTGGCGGCTGTGCTAGTCCCATGCTTATTGGGTCTGGTGGGGAATATTTTTCATTACCTTTATTTTATTGAAATAATTAAAACTAACGAAGCAGATGACTCGTCTGACCCTTATGATGACTTCGGAAGTCTCGAGCCCCTGAAGAAACAATTGCAGACGAACGCAGAAAAAAGGAAACCAAAGAAAGTAAAAAAGGTAAAAATAAGTTTGAACTTGATGTGAATATTATTACATCAAAAAAAATGTGTCTTTTGATCGAACTAGGAGAAATGCAAAAAAGAGAAAGACACAGAAGAGATAGAAAAGGATGGAGAGATGAGTCGTAGAATGATGACGAGCTCAAAGAAAAATAAGTGCAAAAGAGTAATAGTAAGATTCCTTAATTTTGTTATTTCTCTGTCTAAAAGATCAGCGTCTTTAAATTTACATCAATAATTTCAGGACAAAGAAACTCTGCTGCAAGGTGCTGGAGCTGAGCCAAAAATCAAAGAGGAAGAAAAGCGTGAGTAGTTGAGTTCAGAAAAAGTCTTTAAGTTTGTGACTCCCTGAATATATGTTCTGTTGACTTTCCTTTGTCTCTTCAAGTTGTTTTGGGCGCCTCTTGAATATTATTACCGTCAAAATATCTCTTGTTAATTTTTACGTTTATAAAAGTTTTGTTTCGATACTGTTCGATGTATTTTGTAACATATGAGAGGATCACTGAATCCAAAATGTTCTCCTGACTGCGGCCACATTTTATTCCAGAACTGTAACATATTTTCCATAAAAACAGCATGAGTTACAATAGAATAATTCTAGAGTTAATGAACTAAAACTAAGCCAATATAGAGAGGCTGCCAAAAAAAGGAATTGACCAATATGTTGCGAAACTTATAAAAAGCTTTAATAACTATAAAATTGTAAGAGTAGTTGGCTTTAGACCTGTATAGTTGTGTAAATTGTTGCTAAATTGAATAAAAAGTAACCCATATTAAAAAAAAAAAAAAAAAATGGGTTAAAAAGTGATGCTGTAAAGGGTGCAGGCCTTCAAAACTCTGACTTAACCTGATCCTTAAAAATAGTAAAGCTCGCTCGGGTATAAAACCCCGCAGCAGCCACCGTTGAGCATCAGTCTTTCGGAATTCCTCGTAAGGAGAGGACCGGCACTGCAGGTTAGCTGATGAGGCCTGGATTGGCCGAAACAGCTGTCCTAAAACCAGCAAAGCGGCAGATTACTGTGATTTTGCCAGAAAAATCTTTGGGTTTATTGCCTTAGTTAATTTTATGTTTATTAAAAATTAAATTCTCCCATTTTATTTATAATTTTTTACTCATTCATCCCACATAGTTTTAGTTGGGACACGACAAAACCCTAGGTTTTAAAGTACCAGCAGACCGCAGGTCGCCTTTGGGATCAGTTGTCCTTAATTTTTTTTTTTCATTCTTTCTTTGCAACGAGATTCGCCCGGTTTCAATCTTTCGTAATAATTTTTATTCATTGATTTCAAACTACCATATATGTTATTATTTTTTTTTTATTTCTAAAATGTCTAAGATTATTCGTTGGAACATTTGGATGCACATTACAAGTAAGAGAATTGAAGAGTTCTTCTCTTTTTCCAAAGAATTGAGTTGCCCTCTCCAAGTGACCAATTCTTGCAAATCCTCTTTTTCGCTCAATGTTAGTATTCCGGCATTCTGTTAAAAATAATTTTATTTATAGAATAGAGTTTGAATTTGGCAAAATAATTTTTTTATTACATCTTCAAGCTGTTCTTGGGGAGCTCCTTGTTGTTTTAAAGTCATGTACAAGCTGGTCAATCGATGCTCCTTCTGGATGGTGTGGCTGAACTTCTCAACTATGTCATTTTGTCGCAACGATGCCGAGTACTGGGCCAGGTAGCACTTTTCCAGACACATTCTAACCAACTAGAAAATATTCTCAATTCAGTTGAAGTCTAAAAAGAAAAAAAACAAACAGCATACTTGGGTAAGGCTTACGAAGAAGTAGTAATTTGTTGTGGTTTTGCCGGCTTCTGTTGATGTTCCCAGTTTCAGCTCTTTCAACTGGAGGAAATTTTCTCCCACTAATCTGTAAGCAATTTGCTTAGCCTCTTTGGCAGGCAGCATTGCGTGATTTTGTACTTCGTCGATTCCGATAAACTGGTGCCGTCGTACAGTCCTAATTGGTCAAAAGTTGATGAAAACCCCAATCTTGAACAACAATTTTACCTGAATATTCTAGCTCCTTTGGAACCGAATTGCTCTTGGGCAATTTTTTCCAGCGCTGACCATGTCAACTCAAGAATTGCTGCTTTTAATGTTACTTGGTATTCACCACCTGCCGCATCGCCAACTCTACTCAACAGATTACTGGAGTCCTCCGCTAAAGCGAGAGGGAAAATAAATGATGAGATTAAAACAAATTGATTTTATAAAAAAAAAAAATTGGACGAAAGAAAAATGAAATTTTATATTACCAACCAAGGACTTGCAGGTATTCAGAAATATGTGCTTCTAATGGAGATCCTGGATAGCTCATTTTCACTACCGAATGAATTGTTGGCTTGTGGAAAATATTCGAAACCTCCTCCATTGCATCTCCGGAATCCGACATCAGCTGCAGAAGGCAACGCACCAAGTTTCCTGCCTGATAGTCAATTCGAGCCGTCAAAGCTTCAGCAAACATTTCATCTCTATAATAAAATAAAATTAACAAAATGAGTTTTTATAATAAGTTAAGGCTATACCTCAACAGTTGAGAGACTCCCGTTCGACTGACTTGCCAAACAACAGAGGTGTCGCTGGCATCTTTTATGGACAAATTTTCACTGGTGATTTTGCTTGCCAGTAGAGGCATGTTGACTTCAGGCAGAGCTTTACTTTTTGAATAGACTGCCGTCGTGTCCGGCACAGGCTCTCTTGAGGCAACTCTTTCGATCAGACCCTCTTGAACCAGCTGCTGCATTTTCTCCTTCATCTGACCAAGAACGGCATCAGCGTTTTGATCTAAAGTTAAAAGCGTAATGAACAGTTTCAAGATATCAAGTAGAAATTATGCAGATTTACCTGGCTGAGTTCTCAGAATTCGAACCGATGATACAAGTATGACTCCTGAGGCGCAATCACGGCCACTTTTCATCAGGGTGTCCAGCATAATCTCCCCTTCAGTCCCAAACTTTTTAATGAAGACAGGCACTCCTCTAGAGGAACAAATTACTTATAATAACTCATTTATCTTTTACACAATTATCATAATGCATACGCGCATTTTTGAATTATTTTTTCTTATAATTCTTAAGAAAAAAATTAATATTGTAAAAAATGGTAAATGGTAATAGTACAAAATTGATAAAATGGAATATACCTTATGTATCTCTGCAGAAATAAGATGTTATCTTTTCTGAGGAAATAAACAGGCACAGTGGATTTCACGCCTGTCTTTGCATTTTCCGGTAGTTCAAATTCGACAATACCAAAATTGATCAACCCTCTCAAGACATGCTGCACCTGTAAAATGAGGAAATGAGCAAATCTTTTCATTTCATCGAACCTTTACCTTACCTTCGTGAGCTTCAAATTCGTGTGAAAAATTATTTGTTGAAGAGTGAGATTGCCGAGACGGAACAAACACATGGCCACTTTCTCGGCCAAGTCTCCGTACGCCTCTTTCAGCATGATGGAGCAGAGTTTTGCGTGCTGGCACGTTCCTGACATGTTGTTAAAAAAACAAAGTGATACTTGACGATTGATATTTTACTTAAAATTGCTTCCATGCGATTCAGGACATGAAAAAAACATGTAATAACTTCACGAGCTCCAGCAAAATTTGATGTGTTTGAAAAAGCAAAACAAGGGGGCGTGGCAAATGTGGCACCGTCGATCTGCCGCCGAACGCGTTTGGCGCGAAAGCCACGTGGGCAAATTACATCGTAATAACGGGAGGTGGTCAACAAGTGTCAACACTAAAAAATTAAAAATTACTTACTTATAAAAATCAAGATGAAAATCTCTGAAGCTTTTCATTTTTTTTTTTTTACAATTAAACTAAAATGCTAAATTGTCTAATGATATTTTCTGAAATTTCTGATCATCTTGAGTTTATATGGAATTACCTTTATTATTCTTATTTATGTGATTTATTTATATTATTTATAATGTGCAATGTGGACTGAGGATTAATTGAATCTCCCGAAGTACACAGTGATTGAATAATAAATTAAAATACATATTCTTGTTAGTTGAATTTGCTTTGTTTATTTTTTGTTTCTACATGTTTTACATAAAACAGTCAAAACGTTTTCCTTTCTTTTTAACTGTGTACATTTACATTGATATATTATAATAATAATTTTTGTCAAAACAAATTTCACCTCCGACACTTACGGACACAATTTTTTTTTATGCCCCTGACAGTTGCAGAATAAATACTAGATTTACATCTTAAGCATATATGTATGCATTTATCTACGATTAAAGATTTTTGTTTATATTAATTAACAACGTTCACTTGATTTGCTTATTTTCTCACATTGAAAGCAGCTCTTTAAAATAACAGGGCCCCCGCGTACAATGTGGAACCCTTTATTCCAAAAGAAAAAAGAAAATGCATTTAATTACACTTGCCGTGATGAGAAAGAGAGAGAGAGAGGATAACTACTTAGTTAAATATATTTGTTAAGCTGCCACTTCTCATAAAATTAGAACAACCATGCACACAGACACACGAAATGAAAATTCTTTGGATTAATGTACAAAAGTGCCACAAAATTTTGCATTCCCTCCTACGGAAATAACACCTATTTTTGGTACTGTAATGAGCAATTATAAGAGAAACGGACACAAAGATGGTTAAATCTGGTTGAATTAATAATTTGTAAAACTTTTCACTGTAGTGCAGAAGCAGGAACTGGCCTAAGATAATTAATTAGCTGTGTTCGTTTGGAAATCATACAATTTTAATTTTTTAATTAATTATGGCAAGCGAAAATTCACGTCTGGCAAATTAACCAGGATTGTGTTACATTGATTATACTATTATAACGAATTTTTTGGCACTGCAAGCATTGAGCACAATTAATTATTAAACAATTAAAAAAACTTGTAACTAGACCTTGCCTTGGGAAGAACTGTAATATACACCAGTGTTAAATTCAACAGTATTCAAGTACTGTGAAGGTTAATCATTGGACCACAGAGGAATATTCAATTTTTTCCGCTAAGCTAACAACAATAAATTAATGAGTTGAAATGAAATGCATTGCAAAAGTTTATAATGTGTTATTGTTTTGACCCATTCACTCTATCTCTGACACCGCATTATGATGATATTTTATTGTTGCTATAGCCCTTATAATTTTACACATTTAAAGTGAGACTGTGACACTCATCTTGGATAAATCGGTTTATTGCATAAATCAATGCACCAAACACGTTTTCAATGTTAATTTACATTCAAATTTTTGATATTATTTATAGCTACAAGGTGGTGATCAAAATTTTCTTGAAGAGATTCTCAAAAAGAAAAAAGGCCAAAGAGTTTCTTTAGTCCGTAAATATGTTAATTAATGTTATATTTAATAAATCCCCACTTACTAACGTACCACCTCTGACCCATCCCAAAATTAAAAGTATATCACATCAGTATAATTAAATTATTAGGCGTTGCTCTCAAAGTGAGCAACTGAAAATCCGTAAAACATAAATTTTTCAATAACTGGCGCACCAAAATCAAAAGACTTTTGAGAAGCTCTGAAGAGCCCAATAAAATGGTTTACATGTGGTCCTCTTAAAATTGAATTACAGAAAAATTGATGCGCAGTGACTGACCTTGATGCAGATTCTGTATTGAGATCCACAAGTATTTTTTTTCTCCAGAAACAAAACATAAATTAATGATCCAACGGTGCTACAAAAAGTAGCCCTTGGATTTCCAAAATCTTCCGACACTTACTTATTTACCAATATAATGTTTTAACTCACAAAGGTCTAAACTTAATTAACAACCATATTTTTATCTACAGCGATAAGTACATTTGATAAATATTAAGTTGATTTCATCGGGGTTTTTTTTAAGGAAGCAGCATGCAAAAATTAATCTTTCGTACTTTGGAAATATTCCTTCTCCGGTCTACAAGATTCTACTCAAAGGAACTTTTCCTCAAGACTATTTCAACCAGAAAAAGACGAAATTGATTTCTGTGACATTTTGATGCCGCAATCAAACAAAAACAAGAGACTCTTCTGTTCATAAATGCAGCCTCCACTTCCTTTAAAATGAAAATTATTCAAATAAAAATTATATTCTCCGACGTGACGAGAGTCTTTCTTTCAATCGATACTCATCATTTAAAATAACCAACTTTGATTTCCACACTTTTCCTTCAAAGAATTCCGGCGGCAAACTAGACTCTTCAAAAGAAGTTCCTTGCCAATCAGTCCTCGTCCTTAGGCCTCGGACTGGAGTCGTAAACGTTGTTCTCCGGAGAGAAGCTGAGCACATCACTCGGTGACAGGCTGTCCGAGTAGTAAGAGGGGAACACCTGACCCCGGGGCATTCCCGAGGTCGAAGCGCCCGACTCGGAGCCCGAGCTGGCCGCGCTGGCCGCACTTGCAGGGCCCAGAAGGGCCGACGAGGAGGACGGCATGTCCGAACCTGGCGCCAGGAAGGAGGGCATCTCGCCCATGCTGCCGTCTCTGCACCACAGCTGCCGCATCTCCTGCCGCCGCTGGCGCATCAGCGATTTGTACTCGGAAATGCGCATCTTCTTGCCATCGACAATGCAGGTGCGCTTCGGACGAGGTCTGTACCGGTAGTCCGGGTGCTTCTCCATGTGCTGTTTAGAGAGCCGAGACTGCTCTTCGTAGTAGGGCTGCTTCTCTGCATTTGACATAGACTTCCATCGGGCACCTAATCAAATAATATATTAGTTTCATCTTTAGAGATTTGCATACAGACATTCGAGAAATTAAAATTGAATTGTTTTTACAATATAATTAAACTTATTTTCATTTTGAATGAGGAATTACCAAGAATTTTGGAAATGTTGGAGTTGTGCATGTCAGGGCAGGCTTTCAGGATTTTCCTCCTCTCGTCCTTGGCCCAAACCATGAATGCGTTCATTGGTCTCTTGATATGTGGCTTGCTCTCGCTATCTCGCTTTTGTGAGCGCACAATTTTTGCTGAAAAAATAAATATAAATTACTTTGATGAATATAATTTCAATCAGTCCATTATCACAGTAGAAATGAAAAATTAATAATTAGAAAATAAAAGAATAAAAATATACATACCTTTTTCTGAAGACTCGTCAACTTTATAGGCAGAGTCAGCACCCCACACTTTAAGAGATAACAGAATTATGAGTAAATTAATGCAATATATTGTATTATTTTGACAATTTCTTACTCTGGTTAGCAAAGAAGTCTTGCTCGACTTCCTTTTTGGAGTCGTCCTTCTGCGGCACAGGAAGGTACATGTGCAGGGGGAATCCCTTTTCCTCTTTTGGTACAGGACTGAGGCTCATTTTGTTGGGCAACCAAGGGCGCCTCTGCTGATCAGCTTCTGTCCAGAGGAAAATAAATTAGCTTTCGCAGTTCGGCAAAAAAACAAGAGGAAAAATTTTTTGTTGAAAAGCATTGGACAAACCTGTGGGAGTGAGATGGTTGAGATGAGGCGGCAGACCCGCGTATGGAAGGAAAGGTCTCGGCATGACCAGACCTGGGGGCAGAAGTTTTGGGGCCGTGGCTGGCACGGGCTGTTCACCAGCAGCTGCCACCGGAGATGGAGAGCTGCCCTTGGGCTTTGACAGGTTGAGGGGTGTATCGGCGTCTGGAGCGGGTGCTGGCGGTGGTTGAGGAGGCGGCGGTGAGGCCTTTTCCACTGGGGGCAGCATTGGGGTGGCCCATGCGGGTACGACTGGGGGCATCATCTAAGAGAAAGAAATTTGAAATCAGAATTTGGTTGAAAAAATTATTATTAAAATACTATTTAATTAATTTGTAAATTATAATTAATGTAATTGAAAAAAAATATTTAGAGAATTAATTTTTTTTATTTTCTTCACGTGTCAATATTTAAATTTTTTTTTTACTTACGTTGTTTGCTGAAGACTTGGACATTGATGCCGGTGAGAGGGCTGGGGCGGCCGAGGGTGGGAGGCCGCGCAGCTGCTCCAGGAAGGGTAGAAACATGAGTTGGTTGGGAATTCCGGCCATGGCTGAGTTTTTGGCACCTCCATAATGACTCGTGATTTGGCTCTAATAAAATAGAAAGACAGAGAGAGAGCAGCATTAGTGGGGCGCGCAATAATAATATTCCTCGGCTGGCACACACTTTTCATTCATTAATTTTAGACTCGCTCTGCCTCTCGGCTTTTCTCAAAGGGCGATTCGGCACAATTTGTCAACTGTTCTGTGAATTTTCGGCCGGCTATTCATCCATCACGAACGCCCTGAATGACCAATTGTCCGCGCGAAATGGCGCCTCAGATATGAAGCCGCCGCGGTGTTTTTCTTTGGCCTGCCGTAATTCATTTCGCAGCGGCGCATGAATATAAAAAGCCTGTTGGCCGCGCTCTCTGTACTCTTTGTGGGACAAGTAAATCTGCTGTAGCTGATTTATCATGCACTGCCTCTCTGCCTTTTGCGCCGGGGGCGAACGAACAAACCGACAAATGGGCGAGTGTGGCGAACGCAGGCACAGTTTGCATTTCAGGTCGTGCAGTTTCTGACTTTTGCAGAAAAAAATTGTTCATTTATGAGCTTGAAAATAAAACCGAGTGCGGTTTAGGTGGTGCACCATACAATCTAATTTAATGATCTAAATCGGTTCTTTATTAATAAAATGTATTTAAGATTGGTTTTCTTTAGTTACTCTTACAATTAGTAATAAATCGTTATGAATCGATCTCAGAAAAGTTTTATGGAACGTTACAGAGTTAAATTAATTTTGAGAACATGATGTCAATTTAATAATAATTTAATATTTGCAATTCAAAAATAATAACCTAAGTTGGTAAAAATTTAAACTAAAATTTAACAAAAAAAATCAATAATAATATTTGTTTAATTTATAAAATTATAAATAATTTTGTTTTTAATAAATTGGGTTAATTTTTATTAAAATTGTTACTTTAAACATTAGTAATAATTTCACAATTGTTATGAGTTTTATTCTTAATAAACTAGTCTTAAAGCAATTAGGTGAGGAGGTGATGAGGCACCTGCATGAAATCTAATTAGGGAGACGTGAGCTCTGCCAACTCCAGGGGTGTGATTTACTGCGAGGCCATCATGTGTCATAACCAACAATATAGCGGCCACAATTGCGCCCCGAGAGAGCTCCAAGCCCTTTTTAATCTCTCGGTCGCACTCTGCTTGCTTTCAAGTCCCACACACAATGATATAATTGAATGTGCGCGGCACTTCCAACAAAGGCGGCAGCAATTAATTTTGAGTACAGGATTTCACACAAACGATGACTCTATTTTTCGCCTTCATTAAAAGCTGAAATATGGCGCGCGGACAAAAGTTATTGCCGCATTATTTCTTTCAGTGCGCGAATCTTTTTGTTCTGAGGCGTATAGTAATGAAGAGATTTTTCGGCGTTAATTTATCGGCGCCAATTAATTTCACCGGCCGTAATAACTGGGATTTATGGGGTGCATCGTTAAGAGGGTGCCCTTTGATCCGCGATTTCTGAAAATCTGGAAACGTTGTTTCACTTTTTTACATAATTTTTATTTCATTTTTCCGGAGATGAAACGCATTCATAGTCAAGAAACCAAGAAAGATAAATCATCTTAATTTAATTCTCTCTCATTTTGTCTGCCGGTTCCATTCTGATCCTCTCCAGTCCAACTTTACGCAACATTAGGGCTGGCGTTTTCAAGAAAGCGTTGCCGCGTATCACCATCATTATTAAAAGGGAAGAGTGGTCGAGCGTTGATAATTGCGTCCGAGAATATACTCTTGAGAGAAAAAGAATCAAAAGGCCCTGTGGTTTTGTGGCTGAAAGCAGCCAACTCCTGCTGGATAACGGGCGTTTTTTTTAGAGGGGATAAATACGGCGTGCGATATGTGACGAATTATTGCCACTGGCACGAGCTCTCAGCTTTCAGTTCCAGAATAGCGTTTGTTAATTTAGCAGCACAAAAAGCGGCCGCTTATTATCTAAATTTATTTTTATGAGTAAAATGAAAGCGGCGACGCCCGATAAATCATAACAGAGGCAGTGACGTGCGTGTCCCCGTCATTATAAAATTTTATTTTTTTTTCCAAGAGAGACAGACGCTCACCTGCAATTCTTGGATTTTGTGCTGCTGCTGGAAGATGTGCTCCTGCTGCCTCTTGAGCTGCTCCTGCTGCATCCGTTGAAGCTCCATCTGCTTCTGTGTTTCAGTTGTCATGTGACTGGCGAAGGCCTGAAACAGAACAAAGCGAACCATTGTAATTTAGAAATTAAATTTGTCAAATATTCAGAAAATAGCTTCTAGCTACAACACTAATTATTGTTTCATGTGCTCAATACTATAATTAATATTGTGATAGTCTTGATTTTATTTCATTTTATTTCCTAAAATCAAACAAGGAGTTACATAGTTGAGCCCAGAAATAATTAAAACATTTTAATTTTATAACACGTCTCAGTGAGGAATTAAAAAGAAAATCAATTGAAGATTTTTGATTGAGGCTAAGAATTTCAACGTGGAAAAAAGCAACCAGTGCAGTGCGACCTTCTCAGCCTTATAACAAATTGAGCAAAACAAGTAGTCACTTGCTTTGCTTCTCAACATTGATACATAATTAGCTTCATATTTTACTGCCAGCACTTATTATTTCTTTTAATCGAGCGCGCCATTAAATCGGACTGCAGCACCGGCAGATTCCTATCGTGTTGCGAAACGCATCTCTTCGGATTCGACGCGCAAAAGTGCCACATTATTAATGAAGGCGATGCACGTATTGGCTGTCGATGCATAAATCGATCGCGAGTTATTAATTTGCGGGGCTGGGCATTAAAGTGAGAGAGACCATTAATTAAGAAGGAGGAAAAAATAAGTTATTAACGGATTGATTTGTCACTGTCTGCGGCGGGAAATAACGAAACGGACGCGCGGCCCGAATTAATTACGGCAGCTCCGAGTGAAAAGGGAATAATTAAAATCCTTGTAGAGTGAGCTGGTTGGTCCGTCGGCCGGTTGTGTCCAGCAGCGAGAGGGCCTCTCTGTATGTCTATCTGGCTGCATCTCTTGTGTGCACATCCACATACATATGTAACACACAGTGTATTTTATTATACGGCGATGGGCACCACAGGAGAGTGCTTTGTTAATACTCTCTCGCATGCACACGAGGCTCTCTTTAAATGAGTCGTCTGTTCTCTCTCTTTTATATCAAACTTTTTGTTTGTAGAGAGATGAAAGGATTGACTTTGTTTTTACAAGCGGCAGCACCACGGAATTACGGCAGCCATTACAGGGCCCTCCTATTCTATTCTCTGTGTCTTGCTCCAGCGCCACCATATTTTTCCTTTTACAGCACCACAGTCGGAATTTCAGTCCGCTTGCAAGTACAGAGTTTTTTTTTGCACCCGATTTCAATAAATTATATTATCCGACTGCACGACTAGAGTGTCTGCCCTCAAGGGAGAAACAGATGGGATGCATTGTCTGACCTTTTGTCAGCCGCACACTCTCTTTAACAACAGGAAACCATTTTTCATCTCCTGGGGCTGCGGCAATCTCTGCCGGCGATCAAATTACATTTCGTCCGGTGCCTTATGATTTTTTTTAAGGCGATTTACATTTCCTCTTGTTATCCCAATTAGTAAAAAATATGTGAAAATCCTCAAATTGAAAATTATATAAATTTTTAGTGTGCCAACTTTACATGTTAATTATTTAATGTATTCCAAATATGTTTTATTTTGACTCTTGTTGCAAATCATATTTTTGTAAAAACAATTACTTAGACAGAAAGGAAGGATAAGATTGGAAAAACGACACCGCACTTACTAAAAAAATTCAAAATCTGAGAGAATTTTTTTTTAAATAATTGCTAATTTTATACTTATTATTTTTGTAAATCATGAATATTTATTTCTCCATGGAAATTTAAATGCTTTCGGTATAAAAATTATTTCAGCATACAGGAAACTGGACGTCAGACAAATATTTTGGAATCCGAGGACATTTCTAGCACTTCTGTCTTCCCTCTGAAGAATGACTTGATGAAATTAAGTCATCCGAATCGGCGGACGAAAATGCAGTTTCCTGCCAAAAACTCCAACGACGAACGCATGCGCTGCGATATTTTCGTTTTGCAGAGACTCGGATCATGCTATGCTGCGCTCTTTTACTCTCTCGTTAGTAACAACCACTTTTGAATGGGAAAGGTAAAATTAGAAACATTTGCGCGGCTATTTCCAGCTTATGTTGTGAGATGACCGTGGGCGTCATCTTGCCAGGAATATACGTACATATAAAATCGTGTGCGTGCCCCGCGACTCCCCTCTGTTACAATAAATTGAGTGAACCACTTGGATGAATATTCACGCGCGGCCGGCAGATTTTGCCAAAATTCCGGCGCTCCCAGGTGCTTGTGTCGCATTTAGTTTTACATTTTTTGCTCCGGTTTCGCTTGTAAATGCTTTCCTCTTGAATGATTCTAAGAAATGACGATGCTAAAACCACGCAAATGCCTGGACAATAGTATTAAGGTCATTTATAATTATAAAACAAATTCCATTCCAATTTTAGATTATAATCAGTGAAATTTATATAGATTTTTTGGAGCGTGTTTGGTTTAAAAAAAAATCAATAAAATGAATAATTAAAATCAATAAAATTGGGTTTGCTAATTAAAAAGCAATTAGTAAAAATTATTCTGAAATTTTTAGATTGGAAATTTAACTTCTCTGCTCAATTTTGCTCTTTTTGAGGACGAGGCTGAAATTGAGCACTCGCCCACTCAATTTTGTGTGTGAATTTTGAAACTGCGGCTTTATTGTTGTCAAATTAAATGGCGCCTTGTTTACCCTTTATGCACCAACGGACAAGGGGTAATTTACGCAAAGCAGCTTGGTTTCAACACAGAAACACACACACCCAGCAATGAGAGATAAAAGCACACACAGACGAGACACAGTACACAAGGTGCCGTTCTTTGTCTCAGGCTGCAGACTTTTGCTCGGTGTATAATAATAATAATGTAAAGCTCACGGATAAAACATATAATGTCTGCTGCCGGGCTGGACCTGCATCAAAGGGAAAATGCTGCTTTTTGCTTTCTTTTGTACCTCTCTCGCCACTTTCTTATTACGGGGAACAACTTTGATGAGGTGAGCTGGCTGGTGCAGCGCGCGCGGCAGACACATACAGGAAGCAAGAGGAGTTCATCAACATAATGTACGAGATTGCTGTCGGTTTTGCTTTATAGAGAGAAACATCATAGGATAGAGACTACTTTATTCGTGCGCCGTATAAAAAGCAGCAGCAGCTCTCTAGTTATGATACAATAAAGGCCTTCAGCAGTTGACCCGATGTCTTTGTCGGCACCGCCGCACAAAGCAGACACCACTGCAGCCTCCTAATTTTCAGCCGACCGAGCCGCTCTTTACTTCATTGAGACTGCTGTCTTTGAAATTAGCTGCAGAGAGGAAATAAGATGAAAAAATTCAAGAGAGAAGAAGAAGAGACCTCTTGCGATTCATGCATGTGTTTGTTTTGCGAGAGTGGCGTGCAATTTCCGTCGCAGACGCTGTGATTTTTGCTGTTGTTTCAGTCTTTGAAAATATTTGTTTGCTTCATCTTCTTTATTCTCAAAGTATAAAGAATAATATAAAAGGTGAACTACAATTTCATAATTTAAAAAGATCCATTTTATTTTTTATTCAAGGAAAAATTGAATTTATATTCATTAATTGGCATGAAAGATAAAATAATATATTTGGAGAATTTGTTTGAAGAAGTCGAGGAGATGATCATGGAAATGAAGAAAATCGGGCTTGTAATTTTTTTAAAAACAAGTTTTGCATTGAGGACAAGCCCGATTTTCTTCATTTGGAGAATTTGATTAATTTCAATAATTAATTTACAAAAAAATTTAATTTAATTAATAATTCTATTTTGCACAGTGAAATAAATGACGAGAAAGCAACAAACAACAATTCAACTATTGGTCGGTCGCTCAGGTGCATGCAAATCATTAGCCACCGTCGCCAAATCCCACCGCAAGCCACCCCTAGCAATAATGATCGAGTGGCGGATCTGGTCGGAAACAAAGCGGCGAGGGACGGATTGTGTGCGAACGGGAGCTGCTGCCGATTTTCTCTTTTGGAAAAAAGCCGAGCATGATGATGTGAAAGGTTATCTGATTAATTAATCACCGTTCAATCAGATAGGCCGTCCGCCGTGTGTTTTCAAACGCACGCAAATCTCACATCAAAGGATTCGTTCAGCTTCAATAAAATAAGCCGAGGGAGGAATAGGGGGCGCCCTATTTGTTTGATGCGCTCCGAGAATAAACACGCGGAGAGGTGCAGCGCAGGGGACCTCTCGATACATATATATATTTCGATGCAATAAATTAGCGATTCTCTCGCACTGCACGCATTTGGAAGAAACGATGAGATATTGTGACTGGCTGTCAGCGGGGAAGACTCGACACGTCCCTCGAGGCCGCATTGTGACATCGGGATGACATGCTGTATCGGCAATAAGCCGCCGCAAAACTCACCCCATGCCACCTAAATGCACAGACAAAGATAAGCGGATTTCTTGTTTACACTGAAGTGCACGTTCTCAATTCCAACACTCGCGCCCGCTTTAAAATTCAAACTCTTCAATTATTGCACTTTTGTTGAGGGTCAACCCTTGTTAATGAAGTTGCGGATTAGTGCGTGCACCAAGGGGAAATGTAATAATCTCCGAGTTGTGGCTGCAATTTTCAGCAATCAACGAAATGAGTTCTCACACTGCAGCCTCCCCCGCGATCAGAGGAAAACGCAGGTAGGAGAATTCGGCGGTAGGCAACCTGCGTGGTACGTGAACAAAGCAGGTTTCATACCTTTGATAGGTAGAGGGGCAAGGTATAATAAAAATAATAAATTACTTTCAAATAAAAAAGTTAAATGTGTAAATAAAGATTTTATCAAGTTATGACCGACTTATTTTACTATTATTATTTATTTTAGAAAAAATATAGTTTAAGTTTTTACTTATTAGGAGCTCAAATTTTTTACCTCATTAATAGATTTGATTAAAAAAATTTTAGTGCTGAAAATAATCCAAAATTCATGAAAGCACTCCAAGCTAGTTTATAATAGATTATTATCATTAGGATCATTGGATGGCATCGATTTCCGCTAACCTTCCAACTCTGGGTTATTTCTGAGCCCGGATTGCAAATGTGATACAAACTT